CGTCGCTCTCAGACAGTGGGCTGTGTACCGTTTTGAACACTTTGAATATTTGGAAGCATCAGCCATGAAACCTTTGAAACTAGTTTTCCCTTATGCTTTTCAAGTATACCATTTTTCGTGACTCAACGGTTGCGAAGGGGCATCCTTAACACACTGGTTAAATAGAGAGGTAGCTTGAGTGTCGGTTCTACTAATAAAGGTTGTCAGCATTTGAACTGGACAGTTTGGTTTATCAGCTGCTGACATTCTTTTGTCAGCCATTGCTTCTTCAATTGCGGTAATGACTCCTATGGCATTAGCTCGTCCTCAGTAGCCACTTTGAAATGCTTCGGAACATTGTTTGACTGAGAAGGAATTTCTGGGGGTGGTAAACCTTTGTAGTCAGAAAGTGCTAATTCATCTTCAATTTCTCGTTTTGATATTTCCGATGTTGCCGAGATAGTTTCGTTAAAAATGTGTACAATAACATCAGGAACGCCCATATCAAAATCGCCAAAATACATCAATTCATCAAAATCCACTTCCTGACCAGCGTTCGCCATGGCTCTGGTATCAGTGATGTCATGGGCAATGCAGTGAGGTTCGCTCAGCGCACGCGACGCGTTCGATACTAAGAAACAGACGTTTGTGGCAACAATTATATTATAAAAAGATCAAAATTCATTCTTTTTTTGAAAACGTAGATTGTGGCATTAGTTTTTCTCGAATGTGCACAATGTGAAAGAAATTGTCATATGATGATACCGTACCTATTTGACGTTATTAGTAGACATTGAGGAATTCCCCTAAAGTAGCTATGTATGTCTCCGCCAGATGTATAACGTAATCACGTGACATACTGACGTTCATCTGGAAATGAACGAGAGTCTGCTTAGTAGTGTTCATCTTGGCGAGGTCACCCGTTACTGTCAATATGGCCAGTATATACAATATAGCAAGGCCAGTATATACAACGTTACAAGTCCAGCATATACAACATGACAAGACTAGTATATACAATATAGCAAGGCCAGTGTACACAACGTGACAAGCCAAGCATATACAACATGACAAGGCCGGTATATACAATGTTACAAGGCCGTTGTATACAACACGACAAGGCCAGTATATACAACGTTAAAGGGCCTTGTAGCATGTTGTAATAAGAATACAGCAACTTATATTATTGACTAAAGACAGATGCATGCACAACCTCAGTGTTATTACCGGTCCCTCCGTTCTTTAAATCCCCATGACATGATATTTTCACGCTCTGTTAACTGTCGAGACTACAAAGGTGTCTCCGGATAAGATAAAAGCTGGTGTAGTATAAATAGTAACAGGAAAGAGCGGTATTTTGTTTTACACAAGGGTTGCCAATTGACACTTGTGAACACACAAGCTATAGCGGATAAAACTACATGTAGTTCATATGCTGAGTTACGACACAGGGTATCCTTTCCAAAAAGGTCTTGTCCTACCTCTGTCAAGTGTGAATCGTATAAAAAGGAAAGAGTATTAATCCCTGACGGAGAGGACTAGGGTATATGGACGTTTCATACCCAGTAGGTGCTGTTGATGCAATGCAATAATATTGGCGATCACATATAGCTGTCAAGTATGAAGCCACACTCAAGTTAGGCTTTGTTGTGAGTAGAAGAGTGTTATATGTGCTGCTTAAGACCTCCTGTTTCTTTCTAGGTGAGAGAAATGGATTCTATAATTCAGTCTAGGACATCACAGGTTGTGTAGGAAGGATATACAGGAAGACATTCACTAGGCCTTGTGATGCTACAATGAAGACCTGGTGGAATATACTGATATGTATGTGGATAGGTGTTATCCATGGAGAGGAGCATGTTAATGGCAAGTATGGATGTACATATTAATAAGATGATGGACCACCAACAAAGTAGACAAGCGTTCCAACTGGGATTCTCATACTGTTATGCTGTATTAAATTGAATTGGTTCTATGCCCCATGACTCCACGCGTCAATTACAGTAAACCCCAAAGAGCTTATCATTCTCCACATTGATATGCTTTTATATATCGTTTGTAATGGGGTATGCATTGTCTCATTATTAGAAAGTCTAGTGTCAACATAACGGGAAAGCTTTCATGATCATCAATGGATAGTGTTTTCAATGCTAAAAAACCTACCCAATAAACCTTGTGTCACGATCCAAAAATACCTAGTTTGAAAATGAGTGATTGAGTTTGGTTTTACGCCGCTTTTAGAAATATTCAAGCAATATCACGGCGGGGGACACCAGAAATGGGCTTCACACATTGTACCCATGTCGTGATTCGAACCCGGGTTTTCGGCGTGACAAGCGAACGCTTTAACCACTAGGCTACCAGACATTGATAGACCTTGATATATTGATGTATTGTTTGAAATAGGGTATGCATTGTCTCATTAGTAGATAGTCTAGTGTCAGCATAACAGCAAACTTTCATGAACATTAATTTATAATATATACAACGGACAGGGTCTTCAATGCGATACACTAATCCGATAAACCTTGTGTCATGATCCTGTAGTGCCTAGTTTGCAAATGAGGTCTCCTAGAGGGAGCTTCTTTTAGTAGGCCCTGTGGTATTTACGTGCTCCAAAACTATTGTATAACGTTCCCTTAAAGATTAGAAAGTGCTTTCCCGATGTGAGATTATATAAGCATAAATGGCTGTAAATCATTTGGAACTGCATTGTAAATAGGGCGTTTCACTCAACAGAAAGTAGTAAATAGTAGTATGTCAGTTTAAGTATGACGGTACTTTAGAGATTATTAATCTCGTATGTTTCGATAACGTAAATATAATATATTAGGGATAACAAATATGTATTACCTCACCGCAGGCTGTCAAGAGATACTTTTTATTCCAAATATTGTTCCAAGTTTTATGATACGGAATTTATCTGCATTTCACCAACTATCGGCAGTTTTAGTCAGACGTGAAGTCGTCCACCATGTTATTAGCTTGGTTGTCTTACCCTGAGTTTAGCATGCAAACATAACAACACCTGTGTGTAGCTGAAATACAACACTTCCTTTATACACAAAGGATACATCGTTTTTATGCTAATTGTGCTCCACAGTAATTTGTAGTAATGATGTGTATTCACATATATGTCAATACCGCTGGTGATGTTCTGTTTTCAAATTCTGAATATCTTGGGTTTTCCAGTTTGGGTCATACATTTACTTTAAAAGCAGAAAGTTAAATTGCAAAATGATAACATCATTAAGCTCACACTAACACAAGACCTAAGTGAATAGAAAGTCAGCTCACATATCTCATTGATATACATATGAACAAAAAACCTCCGATGAACATGACATAGAAGGATTGTATGACAATGGTTGATCAGAATTATTAACAACAGCATCATACGTACAATAATTTACATGTTAAGGACTATTACTTGAATAGTGGTTAAAACGATATGGCCGACCACTTACATCTAAAAACATTTCCCGAGTAGTCATTCGCACAAGATACAGTATATGTTAGTCAAGATACCTATTGTAAAGTAAAACAATATAATGAAGTTGACAGGATTGACATAATATATTCACAACAGTATTACAAAGAGACTATCTGAAATGGTATAATATAGGCATAACGAGTTCAAATAATCATATGAACCTACAGGTATTGCAATAGTAGCATATAATTCAGATACGCTGTAACTTATCCGGCAAAAGAAGGTATACACTTAACCACAACATTACAAACGTCAAAACATTACGAGGTTGAAATAGGCGCCGACACACTGCTTATTTCAGGTTCACAACCCGACTATTGCACCATTCAAGGTAACGAGACAATTGTTTGCATCTGTTGAAATAGTCAAAGACAATATCAGACATTCTCTGGCGTTTCATACAATATATAGGAATGTCGCCTCTCAGTAGGATTACTTTATTTCACAATTTATATAATTCCTCACTACCCCAAACACTAACATATCACATACTCGTCTTGTTCAATTTTCCCATGCAAGTAAGGTTTTAGTGTTTTGTTCGTTTTAGAATTAGTTCATGCATGGTTGATCTCTTTGCCTAGATGTATACTATATTGACAATACATTACAATCCATACTGTAGGGGATTATACGACTCTTCTTGAATCGAAGTTCCTCTTAAACTCAAACATACACAGAAAAGTGAAACAAGTGTGACATAGAGTGTTACATATAATCGTGTCTTCAATTTATTGTCTTCACCAAATATTTATTTTGTGTATAAGAGTGAGTGAGTTGGGTTCAGCTGCTTTTAACATTATTCCCGTTATATCATTACGTGTCAGCTAAATGTGGGAGGAAAGCACGAAGTGATGCAGGTCTCAGACGTTTAACACTTCGGTGAAACCTACGAGCACTGGTATGGTGCTGACAGACCTAGAAACATATTCGGGGCGAACCGGGATTCGAACCACAATCATAGGTTTCTGGCTCTGCACAGCGAATCGCGGCGCCTTAGACGACTGGGCCACCAGTGCAACCTTGTGTCTAACAAGAATTAATTTCGTTTGCAAGTATTATGATAATATAAGTTAATAACGTTGTAACAGTGAGATTACAACAATATTGCGACTATAGCAATTCATCCAAGAAATGATAACATTACTTAGGAATAGTAAGGAATCACATGCAAAAAATCCTCATTGTTACAACCCATAAAAACTGACAGCCAAAAGAAACTTCACCACTGTAAACAAGAAAGAGTTCAGATTTATAAACTAAACTAATGTGAAACACATCGTCCAAACACACAAATGCTCTATGCAGAAAATGAAATACGTCCACAACACGTTTTATCAATAAAATGCGAAAAGATAAAAAAAACAACGTACCGCAATAGCAGCCGAAACTACACTTGCAATAAGGGTATATAAATGATGACGGCGTGTTAGACACTCAAACTGATGGAAAAAAGCCACATAAATGCCACGACTGACACTTGGGCAGACAGGTAACTACGCCCTATAAAGACCGGTACCTGCGTACTTTGTACGATTCCTGACCGTGACGTCTTCAGCGATAAATGCTTATGGTATATGGTTAGTCGACAGGCAGTGACCAGGTGCCTCATGGTTCAAGGAATTAGGGCTTACAGAACTAACAGAGGACAGTTATTGACGGCACAAAATCGAGATTGAGATGGCCCCGGACTGTACGTCGTTGGCAGCGAGGTGATTGGCAGATGCAAGCCGGTTCTGTCTGTTCAGAGCTGATGTCAGACGGAAGGAAAGAATAAACAGCGGCATGTTGCGTTCAGAAGGTCGTGCTTTTTCGTGGAGGGAGCGTCACTGGTCATTGTTGACGGTAATTTGACCGTTCAGCGTTACATGGATGACATTTGTCGTCCGACTCGTTCGAATATTTCGATAACCGACTCAACACAACCCGAATTGTACAGAACCTCCTTGCAGACAGGTTATTACCACTGTTATCACAATACCTCTATTACATGTCAAGCATCATATTAGTTATCCAATAATTATATAATGCGCTGTAAATGATATTGTTTATCTGTATGTGTATATGGGCCAATGGCCTTACATACAATAAAGATTGATTGATTGAACACCTCTGGGATGTGATGGACCACATCCTCCAGCCAACCGACAAGAACTGATCCATGCTCTCCAAGAAGAAGGGCGACGTATCCTAAGTGACGTCATTAGACGACTGACTTTGTCTTTGCGCCGAATATTTTTTACATGTCTTGTAGCAGCGGGTTGTCATACATGCAATTAATTTGACATGTCATTGAACTTGACCGATTTTAGATGTGTGTGCCCTTTGTCTGATTAAGTTGACATCTTGTTTTGCTACCCCAATGTCTGCTGCATGACTGTCATTTTAAATGTTGATTTTGTTGATCATGTCTGTACATTTTACTTCATGCATCTATCGTTTGTGGTTTATAACTAGGGTGATTTAAAACTATGATTAGTTTCTCTTGGCCGTCAGTTTAGAATTATAGGCGAGTGAATAAGTTGGGCCGAAGCTGAAATTGTGTTGTCGATAAGAAGGGGCTTATCGTAGAATCAAACATGGTAACCAGGTGGAAAATCGATGCCACCAGATCGTTCATGACAACCAAAACAGTTGACAAAACTTCGCTCAAAGACAAGTGGCTTGCCGCCTGCCGTTTTCCCCTTTCACGAACAGTCGTGTTTGCTGCACCCCACACTATCGTTTTGGCGACAGTCCTGTAGATACATTATTATGCAAAATATTTGTTCAAAACCTCCCATAAACAACTCTAAATTGTGATCATTCCATGGGTTATGGCATTGAGAGTTCCAAACACAAAAACGAACCTTGTTCCCAATCAGAGTGGGATGAGCGGACGCGTTAACGTCCCTTAAACCCTTATGTTGTGTATGCATAATATATGGTCTCTCACAATGCAGCCCCCTTTGTGCCACTGGACCATATATGTTCCCGAGAAAATGTCAACTGTGAATTAGGGTGTCACTTAGTGCATAAAATCAACATTAAAACCTTCATCCCTCCAATCATCTCAGGTTCAACATCATGGCACTCATAGTTTACACAGTACTTTATATGCTGAGATTAGTAAAGTGGTTGGTTGCTTCTCTACCATATTTGAACTTCAAGCGAATTACTGCTCTCTTGCCTATTGGATGTTCTATATATGAAACTTTAATGACGATTGTTTTGCTTCCGTAGGTGATTTTTCACTGACGAGCTCACCATTAACAGCAACAGATGGAGACCTCCTCACCTTGACCTGTATGATTCGTGATGAATCTGCAGTAAACATAGGGTGGCTGCAGAGCAACAAATTTAAATTCGTAACTCAACAGTCAATTCATTGTGTTAAGCAGACTCTCGTCTACGGTCAGGACATCATCAGCCGTATCAATGTGAGTTGCAATAGCACGGCCCATAGTATAGCGTTCAGATTTAACTCCACCACAGACCAAGGATCAGCGTGGCAGTGCGGGAAAGCTGTTAACGAATCAGCTATATACCCGAGAAGCAACATTTATTCAATAGGTGGGTATGACAGTATCACTGTGTACCATACATCTTAAGCAATAAAGTAAATTGTCACCAACATAATCTTTAATAGCTCTCAATTAGTTAAAATATGTAATTATGCAATACGACTCAATTAAGTGATAATGTAAGATCAGGCTAAATGAACTAAGTATCTTGGATAAGTTGTCGTGAAAATATTACCCGAAGCTCCCATGGAACAAACCCAAACATAAAGTAAGTGACTTATTTATTTATAGGCGTTGAACGTTCTCATATGTCATCACAATTGTTATCAACAGGGAGCCGGTACATGGAGACTACATCGGCGGATTTCGAGACAGTAACGCAAAGACCCGGTAATTCAAACTCTCTGAAAAGTGCATGATGTACACACAAAAAAACACGACTGACCAATTCTTCATGGAGAACTGCAATTAATGAACCTTTAGCCTGCTGAATTGTTTTAGCATAAGGTGCTTTAAAGAGGGTGGGTGTTATCAAACAGTCTATGCTTCATTAAACAAGGGCCAATTGCCCATGAAGAAATATTTTGCACATTTATTCCGGATAGACGTTACTATTTAAAAATAGCATGATGTTTTCAATCATACAAAAGCGAACGCAAAATTTATTGGAGGTGTTTGGAGTTTCATGATGGGAACCTTTTTGAATCGTAACATTTATGCAAATTTATTTCAATAATCATATTCCGATCTCTTAATAATAACTGAGTATAAATTCGATTTTATTCATCGGCAAATTCAGTTTTTATCCATTTGTTAAAAAAACAAACAAACTTAATTTTCGAGGTCATCATGTCAATTGCAGAAATAGGAAAAGTCGGATTAATCTAACGTGTCATGTTACAAAATTTGCAGGAAACAATCAATGACTTAAAAATATTCACCAATTCTAATGTCAAGTGTTTTAGTTGAATACAAATCCCGTGTTATGATGCTTGTAGATGTACGAAAATCAAACGTGGCGGGCTTCGTCTGACGTCAGCATAACTTATTGCTATTTTAACATTGAACAAGTTCACATTGCCTTCATATATATGCCTTGGCGAAAGTTGATGATCTTCTCAACAAGGAATGTTTCATTTGTCATTTTCCGTTTAAAATGACAAGAGAAAAAGGAAAATAAAGATCGTGAATTCTGATAGCAATATTTCAGTAAGTACAAAGTTCACCGGAAGTGATGTCACAGACAGGGGTAGTCTGCTGATAATCTTTCGTAACAAAACAATGACTGTAAATTTTGAAATATTTCACCCGTCACAAACAGAAAAAATACAAATCACTACATTATATCGGTAATAACCACAAATATGAAACAAAAATGTGACTTTGACGATATAATTGGCATAATATTAATCCGTTTGACCTTGCATGCTCCGTGACCCGGAAACGGTTGACGATGAATCTACAGTTTCTGGGTATCTTTTATCTAAATTTTTGTTGATATTCAAGGATCGCTATCCGTTGAATATAAATGGATATGATTCATGTTTCCGCTATGTACACGCAGATAATTTTGTTTTCACTATAATAAGTGTGTCCCATGCAATACGGCATGGATATCGTCGATTTGCAATGATCATCCTCTACAACAGATGCGCGACAGTAGGCATGACAAGACATATTTCAAAATAACATTCATTCGTTGCTGAATATGATAGGATATTCGCAAGTACGTATATATATATCGATAAAATACGACGTTCATATTTTCAGTGTCGGTTTCACATTAAGATTTAAGAACAATTTCACGGAGCATTGTAAAAGTTATTCTTTAAATATGAAGACTGCCATTATTGCGTGTTGATGATAGATTTGTTAATGTTTAAAGCTTTCCAAATATTTGGTTATGTTTTTTTTATATTTAGTTGTTATTTTTTCCACAATGATTATGTTTAAGGACACCACATATTGTTCTGGAACTGATCAAACTTATCATTACTACCTTTAGTTTAGAAATATTATATTCAACAATTATTATCTTTAATATGAACATCAATTATGTGAATAAGTAACTATTTGATGTTATGAATTAATTTTAGTATACCATGAATAATAAATTAATAGATAAGATCCCAACATATGTACGCAGAACTCTTATAGACATTAATCTTGTGCATTAAGTTGTTTGTTTCAAAACAATTCTAATATTTAATTTTAATCTAAATATGATACATTAATTTCTTGCATCGGTACATGTCGTTTTTGTTTTTTTAATCACAAGAACCAGGGTGGCACTTGAGCTGGTAAGATAGCCATATGTTTATAAGGGAAATTTATCTTTCATAAAAGCAATAGGGCACATTGACCATTCCTGCAGTTCGGTTCTGTTGGAGAAAAGTACATGGAAATAGCCCTACGTAGGCGACCCTTTTTTTATTTCTTGGTTTACGGATTTCAAACTCATTTCAAAAGTGAGGCAGGCCAATTTAAAAAAAAGAAAAAAAGCCTCTCACATTTTTTTTACCTGAATTTTGTCCTAAAAAGTTAGGTAGGTATGAAAAAAAATATCCTGGCGTAATAAAAGTAAAATAACTAAATTTTTCAAGAACATTTTATGATATCCCTGGCACTCAGCTTGTGCAAGGATGGCAACATAACAATATTCATGTCATGGGTGGAAATGCATGAAAGACGCTGCTATTTTGGCAGCATGGGCAACGTTTAACTCTTTCAACACCAGCAAACCAGAAGATTACTGCTGTGACATCAAGTTCCCAGAGACTGTTGTGTGATAGATGAAACCAACATTTATCACGGAGTTATCTGCTGAAATTAACATCTTTGCTACTACATGTTTGGCCATACACTATTTGAAAGGTCTAATTAATCCTATTGTTTATAAATATGAAAGTTATGTGTATTTCATTATTTAAATAATTCATGAACAACTAAATAAAGTTCGTTTTAAATAAATAATAATGTAAGCTAAAACATTCATAACGTCCAAATTAAGCGCAAATCTAACGATTTTTTCGGCAAATATAAGAATTGATAAAATCCACTTACCCATTTCTTTTTAATTTTCATTTGTTTACGTTGTTGGAACATTATTTTAAAAAGAATTACAAATAATATCTGTCATCACCCATTTCCCGATGAAAGTGGCTGTCCGCTCACTAACATTAGGAAATACCTCGGTTTTCAAAGCTTCGTATGAATAACACATACGTCCTGCCATGTCAGTATACATTAAAAAAACTTATTTTGTTTCACCGACAAAATCTGCTACAAGGTCCGTGATTGGTCAAATATAAACACGTGACCTAAGGCAGCTAATCAAATTACAACAACGAAAATTTTCAGATTTTGGCGAAAGGTTTGGGTTAAATCATGTTATTCTGAACGTTTTAGCATGAAATCGCGATCTATATTAAAAATATGGAACTTTATGGATGCATAGAGCTAGGTTTCGAGCTGTGACAAAGATTTCTTATGCATATATTTTGGCATTAAGACATCGTGTCCGAGCCGAGAAATCGAGGCGAAGAAAGCCGAGATGTCATTTGACTTACGATATGCGATCGCATGAAAAGTTGGAAATAATAATTAAGATGTCAGTTTGGCAACTTTTATAGATATATTTTTGATGATTTTATTACTTTGTAAATAAAGACGTTTCAGTGCGTGAAACGTCTTTATTTTGCTATTTGACATGTTCGATGAGGACCCGTTGTCGAAGTGTGTCCGAGAATTATATGTTCAATAACATTGCGGGAAATAGTGTCAAGTGAATATATTTTTAATCTATAGATAAAAAAATGATAAAATCAAATGGAATACGTATTTCAGACATTGTGAAATGTGATAGATTTAATAAATGAATGATATGACAAGTAGGTTAATATAATTATAAACTATTTTGACGTGGCTTGGACGGTCTACCGTGCGGTGTGACTTGTGGCTTTGAACGGCCAACAGTGTTGAATTAGTTAAACTGGTCACCACTGCGCTTTGCGTTGACAAGCTTTGATGGTATTAGAGAAGGATCCCAGCAAGAAATATCAGAGTGACTTCCCTTTGCTTTACGCTCGACGAGGGAATGAAATCTTTTTTTTGTTTGAACTTTTTGTCGAAAAGATCGGCGGTAATAAAAAAAAGGGTAATTTTTGTTTTTATTTTTTTTAAACATTTGGACTTTGAAAGAGCGGCGCATCCGTAAACCAACAAATTAAAAAAATTGTCGCCTTATGTATTTTTTCTGGGTTCTCACCAATGAAATAATTTGTACGATTGCTGGAATTTCCAGGTTTGTTGCAGTATGCTCAGGTGTGTGACAGTGACGCTCATGCATGTCTCTAAAGGAACATGGACCATTGTGAACTGTGGTCAGCATGTTTTCATCTAACATCCGATGTGATGTACAAATATTCAAAGTAAATACAGATTATCACCAGCCTTGATTATTTGATAGGTTTCTGTACATCCAGTCAGTATAGGTCCATACCATGTTCAATATGTCTCCGCCATCTGGGTGGAGTGAAACGAAATGTCCCTGTGTACATGACTACCCTTGTCAGGTGTATTTTATCCTGTCAGCCACACCCCGGCACCTTGTGTGGTTTATTTTACGCATACATGCACTGCCGCAGACTTATTTTTCCCTTGTATGCAATCACAATGTCACACTTTCATCAGTTGGTGTGTATAAACGTGCTCTTGCCATCATGAAATAAGAATTGAAAAAAAAAAGTTGTACATGTATTTGCAGTAATAAAATCACATTTGTAAATCATTGAGTACTCTTTGTTACTCTGAGTTAATTTTTTTAAAATCATAAGGATTTCTCTTTAATAGACCAACGTCAAACCATCTGACAAGTCAGAAAGCATTGTAACTTTAAAAGCCCCAATTTCTGAGGTGTCCATATTTTTCAGATTATTTGTTCCACTTTAAGGACAAAGCATAAGCCGTCTCCCTGTTATTACCGTGGTTGCGTAAACATACTGACGAGAATGTTTTTTTCCCTACATTTCATGAAATCCATTTGAAAGTTTATACCAAGACCGGAATGTGATGTTGTACCCGGAACAATTTTGTATTAGTTTCAAATATACACACTACTTAGTATTAAAAAGTTAATTTATTATCTCTTTCCTATCAAAACAATAACTTAACTTATCAATTTAACTGGTCTCTTCGTCAGTGACAAGATCTCACTTTCCTATCAAAACCAAACAATCAATTTGAGTTTTGCCAATGTGGAATGACTTCATCAAAGGACCACGTACAGTTAGTCATGGATATTATGAACTTGATGAAATGTTTTATCCTAACGTTCTGTTCATTGTTTGCAATAAACATGGAAATGGTTTTTATATAGATTTAGTTTAGTTCTCTTTGGTACAAAATAAGCAAGTATTTTGAGCAAATTTGTGTTTGGGACACAAAATCACATGGACCCTACTACATCAATCCAGTCGCCTTGATCCTAGTTTCATCCGTTCTAAAGACTGGAGGGGGTAAACGTTTTCGAAAACAACCTAAATATTTTAAATTGTCCTTCTTGCAATGACAGAACAGTAACAATATTGTGATGTTATTATTATAGCATATCAATTTGTTATATCGCTCCTGGCTGCCGTCATTTGGCATAAAATAATTCCAAAATCATCTTGCGTGGAATCCATTACGGTTTCGGTGTTAGACTCACAAATTTGATATTACGCACCCGCGACAATCACGACAAAATATGAAACATATGAGTACAGACTGCTACCAAGTTCAATAAATAGTAAACAGGGGACGATAAATATTAAATTACTTAATTTCTTTTGAATTGATGTCTATTTCGCCTCGATGTGTGACAGATGTTACTTGCTTCCGGTTTCTGAAATGCCAGATGAAATTGCTATTTCTTATACTATGTTTTGTAATCTGCATAATTGTTCTTTTGAATGGTTTCCCTAGTAGGTATATCAGTTCAGACTTTGAGTATCATCTGATATTTTTCGTTATATTCTCAGCGTGTGTTGACTTTGCTCAAATAAACAAATCGCGAGTTAGGCCACGCCTGAGATATTTTTTTTACAAAGATTTATACATCCGTGTAAATAATTCCAGAAAATTAATTTAGATGTATAAATAGGATTGTGATAGTATAACGTAATCACGTTGCACGTGGTGCTGTTTGTTTACTGCCGTTGCCATGATCGTACAACTTCCAGATAATCGATGAAGTTACGAATCAGTTTATTTTGGTTTATTATTACTTATACTGAAAGCTGTTAATATTTAGAAATTAAGGAACGTGAGTGATTTCTTCTAACAAAAAATAATTATCAAATGTGAAAAATTATAAAATTTCGGACTGCATGCCGCTCAATGTGATGTGCCAAAAGTCAACAATGGCCGTTTCTGGTAGTTGTGTGCCGAGAAATCTGTCAGATACTTTTTAAATTTGATATGTTTTCTTTTTGAGGTAAATAAACTACTGAAGCTTTTTGACATTTTGCAAGCTCAGCATTTATGCATAAATACAGTTATTGTGATATTTATCTTGGGGTGTCCATCGACTAAATCATCACGCACACACTGAATTGCAACAAACATTATATAGTTTGTACAAACGGGAACAGGTAACTGTGCTTTATATGAAGTTTTAATAAAAATAAATTGATTCCGAAATATAATAATGCATCTTCTCCATATTGAGGTTGCGATTCACAATTCGTAATTTTTGTAATTTTTATTGTTGGGAAAATGATCTTCATACTTGTGTTTTTGAATGTGAACAACACACATTAATTCTTTAGTTAACAGGTGCTAAAAATACGACTTCTGCTTAACTGTAAATAACGCGTAGGCTATGCCATGGCTTGCTAACTATTTACGTCTACGCGCCGTGCAAACGAGAAAGGCACAGTTGTCAGACATGTTCATGTTGATCACAACACAATAGCATCTGTCTGATGACGTTATCGACAAAGGGGAAACAATGTTTTACTGTACTAAATTTTGACATCCGTGTCAAACCTAATGACAATACTCGATGGTGAGCGCTCTGGGCATTGGATCCCCAGAGATAGGGAGTTCCAGGTTGTTCCGTGTGCAGAGAAACGAAATAGTGAACGTATTGAAGATGCCCCAGCAACCCCATGACGAATGAGATCGTCAACGGAGCAGCAGTAGGCACTTTATTGTGCCATGTAACACTGGCATGAACGGATTATTTGTAAGAGCGAATATCGTGTAATTGAGGGTGAAGACGTGATATGTCGTCCATCTAATGATTCACGTCATCCTTGAAATAAAATATTTTGCAAATACTTAACAGCTACTTTGTCACAACAACAGTTATTAATTGAAAACTTGTGTGTTGAAAATACAACTTATTCTGTTACAGCAATTGAAGCTATCTTATGGCTACCCATAGTTGTAGCAGGAGCTGTTATTATCATCATAATTATCACTATCGGTTGCTGCTACCGCCGCTGTAGAAAACAGGTAAGCTAGCTCTGAACCTAGCCCTCATATTTGCTTGACGACGGGCCATTATCACGCCCGTTGTTGGAAGACGTCATAGGGATAGGGGTAGGTGACGTCACGTTCAATAGAGATGTCATCTGGTTTGTTCTATGACGTTTCATTTTTGGAAAAGTGGGTCAGTGACATTCGTGTTGATTGCAGTAAATGTTTCATAACCAATATTGTTGTTTCTTTTTATGTGATAAAAAATTCTATCCATTTTATCTACAATAACTGTAACGCTATTTTTCAGGGTATTATCATTGCAGAAGCCCTCGGTCTTTTCAACTGCGCTCCTTCGTCTGGGCAGTTAATAGAAGACCTTGGGTTTCTGCAAATCATAAATGCCCTGATAAATATCGTTGCAGAAGCCCTCGGTCTTTTCAACTGCGCTCCTTCGTCAGGCAGTTAATAGAAGACCTTGGGTTTCTGCAAATCATAAATGCCCTGATAAATATCATTGCAGAAGCCCTCGGTCTTTTCAACTGCGCTCCTTCGTCAGGCAGTTAATAGAAGACCTTGGGTTTCTGCAAATCATAAATGCCCTGATAAATATCATTGCAGAAGCCCTCGGTCTTTTCAACTGCGCTCCTTCGTCAGGCAGTTAATAGAAGACCTTGGGTTTCTGCAAATCATAAATGCCCTGATAAATATAGTATTGATGCGAGTGAATGTTGGATGGATTAACCATTGGCAGCCAAAAACCTTAACCAGGATATAATTGTTGATATAATATATCAATGTCGACAAGCTAACGTAACTTACATGGGATATTTATTTTGCCGTTGACTACAACAGGTGCCAGCATCAGCAGACACTCATACACATGATGACTTGGTTGTACCTGTGTCACAAGGAAAACGGAAGGTAGCAGTCGTATATCTCCCTTCTGAGGACGCTGTGCACCAGGCTGAGGACAATGTTGTAGTCGGCCCTGGAGGATCTGCTTCTGGTAATGATCAACAAGGACCCGGACTCCGTATTAATCCTGTGTACGTCCCTACTACTGTAGGTGACAGAATAGTCACAACAGGGACATTGGCAGGGACAGGTGTGATTGGTAGGTTCACTCCTTTACATGACACTAGTTTGACATTCCAGTTGCATGTAGGGTTCTTATCCTGATACATCTGCCTATCAATATATTGATACACGTTGGCTGCGCAATGTTTACACTTTCAGAATGTATTTCATAAACTATATATGTTGACATTGACACCACTGACACTATACGTTTAATGCTGAATCATTAGTTTGATACACAATTCAATCGTCTAATTAAAATTTCAATTGATCAACCTGGTGGATACCTGGAAGATGTAATTCTAAAACCTAATAAGAAAATGTGTTTTTGGCATCAGCGCCTTACCTCATAGCCTTATTATTGGAAATAATATAAATATATCTTTGTATTTGTTTTCAAATTTGCCGCGCGATCGTACGCATACTCAGTTATCAATAAAATATAATGCTTGACAACTAGCTTTGTATAAAAGGTCTGAGTTCACTGTGTGCCCAGTTGCTTTAGTTGGTATTTTTGGAGGGGGGCCATAGTGTTTCTCCCGAAAAACTAACATATGGTACATAACAGAACTAGTTAATACATTTACTGGCAAGCATTAAGGGCAACGGGATAGAGTTCAAATTCACAATACACGTGATTAAGGTTTTAAATTGTTACAAACGGATGCATTATCAATCTAGCTCATGATCTTTAGGGCTTTCAAGATCTGTGGCAGTGTTAGGTCCAAGTGTTAATTATACTGCTATGTTCAAAAACACCGATTTCCACATATATATGTTATTTGTTTTTAATACCACAATTGCTCTAAGTTATGGTTTGACTCTTTCGTTCAAAATAAAACGATTTGTTTGTTATTTGACGCCGCACATGGCAATATTCCACCTGTATGATGTCTATAAATAGTCGAGTCTGGAGTAGACAATCCAGTGACTGACATCATGAACATCGATGCACACAATTGGAATACGATTATACACAATCAACCAAGTCACGGAGACGGACCCCAAATTCATTAAGTTACCTCTTACAACAAACTTAGTCACTGAGTATCAGTTCTAACCTAGAATCCCCGCGGGTGAGATATGAACATACTGATCCATTAACAGTTTGGGAATCTTCATTATTTAATGATATTAGATTTCATAAATAGATTACATTTTGAACCTGCATTATGTAAATTGTGTTTTCAATTGTTGGTCACTTTCAGTTCTAATTTCAAAGAATCAATATATATTCAAAACCACAAGTTCTATTAAAACATTTGGCATTTGTTTCAGGTGGCGATAACCTACATCCTGAAACGAGAGGAGAATATGTTGCTCTTGATAGGAATGCTGTCCAACCCTCACACATCTATGAACATCTGACAACATATGAAGAAATTGCCAACATGTGAAGTAACATCCTTAAAAGAAACGGGTGTCTGTATACTACACATATAAGGCCCACATGAAAACATTCTCACCTTGTTTGTGCTACGAGAAAATAAGGAAGAGAATTTATGAATGTCAACTTGTGTATACGAGTACTTACTCCTTCATCAGGTAAAGAAAATGCTATGAGGTAGAGAATATATATATGTGTACCTGCAAGGACAACAAAAGTAAAAGGATAACAAGGGGGAAACTAAACAGGCAAGCCAACAGATAATGGGCGCTGAAAGGTGATTAGCAATGGACAAATGGAAGCCAACACTTAACATGCCATTGATTGGTAATATGCTATGGACAATGGGCAAAATTTACTTTTGTTGTCCTTACATGTACATATATATGCTGTCTGCCTCATGGCATTTATTCACCTGATGAAGGAGAAAGAATATATTCCGAAACGTTGTGTTCCTCACCATAAAGAAGTTGACATCCATAAATTCATCTTATGTGTATCACTTCTAAATGCCTTACAAAGACTTGATACGAGAAAATAGTCCTTTGCATGGAATACATAACTAAAATTGAAAACAGCAACACTCAATTAAATCTAGCACATCAGTGTCATTGCATTGAATTAAAACGACCAAACCTCATCTCAAACAAGATACCAAATACATCTGCCGTTCATAGTGCATTGATGCATTTGGAACTATTATTTCGTCTTGGTTCGAAGGTATAAATGATATTACATTAGTACACTCATAAAAAAGTTACTTCAAGATAAACACTCTTAACTATTATGTCGATGAGACAGGCTTGGAATACATATGATTGTGGACGCCAGTCCTCATATTGATCTCTTGAACGTAGTGTCTTTCTTACCGCAGCATTTGCAGGCCGCTGCAGGCCGCTGCAGTACGTTAACAACGTGACAGCTTCGGTGATCGAACTCCTCATTGAATTCCAAAATCTTTGTTATTCCTTGAGTGGAGCTACCAAACTCTGAAATAAGGCACTAACAATCAGGTGTTTGGATGACTCCTTCTCTCCTGACCCGTGAAGATTCCAGGATAGAATAGGTCTTCAGCAACCCATGCTTGCCGTAAAAGGTGACTATGCTTGTCGTAAAAGGCGACTAACGGGATAGGGTGGTCAGGCTCGCTGACTTGGTTAATGCATGTCATCGATCCCAATTGCGTGGATCGATGCTCATTACATTAATCACTGGATTGTCTGGTCCAGACTCGATTATTTACAGACCGCCGTCATATAGCTGGAGTATTGCTGAGTGTGGCGTTAAACAACAACCAACCAACCAACCTTCTCTCCGTAAACTGTTCTGACGTTAGATACAATCACCTGTTTCAAGTATATGTATATGCACCAAAACCTTAAAGCATCATAACAACAGCAGTTGTCATTCATACAGTTGCTTGTTAAAACCATACCTCACTTTGTATATAATACATGTATCTACATTGCACTTTATACTGAATTATTTTTATTATCATTACCTAACTATGCCAATCAATGACATAAAGATATATTTAAAGCACTCTTTTGTAATATATTCTCACTTTTGTCACAACCTTTGCTACAAGTTAATAAAGCTCTTGTCTCTTCACCAAAATGTACATGATTTATTTGTTGTTCGATTATATATGACTGCATACTTTTCTGTCATCCTTACATGCAAACATCGAAGTAGTCCCATCACAAATATCCTGATCATCATGTGTCAGTTTGCCTCAGACTCACTACCTCGAAACAGACATTACACTGACTCACTACCTTGAAACAGACATTACACTGACTCACTACCTCGAAACAGACATTACACTGACTCACTACCTCGAAACAGACATTACACTGACATACTACCTCGAAACAGACATCACAATGACTCACTACCTTGAAACAGACATTACACTGACTCACTACCTTGAAACAGACATTACACTGACTCACTACCTTGAAACAGACATTACACTGACTCACTACCTTGAAACAGACATTACACTGACATACTACCTCGAAACAGACATTACACTGACTCACTACCTCGAAACAGACATTATACTGACTCACTACCTCGAAACAGACATTACACTGACTCACTACCTCGAAACAGACATTACACTGACTCACTACCTTGAAACAGACATTACACTGACTCACTACCTTGAAACAGACATTACACTGACTCACTACCTCGAAACAGACATTACACTGACATACTACCTCGAAACAGACATTACACTGACTCACTACCTCGAAACAAACATTACACTGACTCACTACCTTGAAACAGACATTACACTGACATACTACCTCGAAACAGACATTACACTGACTCACTACCTCGAAACAGACATTACACTGACTCACTACCTTGAAACAGACATTACACTGACATACTACCTCGAAACAGACATTACACTGACTCACTACCTCGAAACAGACATTACACTGACTCACTACCTCGAAACAGACATTACACTGACTCACTACCTCGAAACAGACATTACACTGACATACTACCTCGAAACAGACATTACACTGACTCACTACCTCGAAACAGACATTAAACTGACTCACTACCTTGAAACAGACATTACACTGACTCACTACCTCGAAACAGACATTACACTGACTCACTACCTCGAAACAGACATCACAATGACTCACTACCTTGAAACAGACATCACAATGACTCACTACCTTGAAACAGACATTACACTGACTCACTACCTTGAAACAGACATTACACTGACTCACTACCTTGAAACAGACATTACACTGACTCACTACCTTGAAACAGACATTACACTGACTCACTACCTCGAAACAGACATTACAATGACTCTGGCTACCTTATTAACAAAGTTATAATCACTTCCGGTTTAATGGCCTTGACTAGCAGACTCACAAATATGTTTAGATATTGTGTTTATAAGGTTTCAGCAAATTTTAATTATTGATAGATATTTTAACAAAAGATATTTTGTTACGTCAACTTTACCTTGACCTATAACGGGAATCAAATGCGGGAACATTACTTATATAGAACATTAAATATTAAGTCTACATACCATGCCATCAATACCTCAAGTCATTTCGTGAGATAATGACCTTCAAAGCGACCTTGACATTTGACATTACCATTACAATGACAGGTATTAATTATTGTGCTTGTGTGTATTCTACATATTGTGGGGTAGCCTGGTAGATAAAAATCTCTCGTCATGCCGAAGACTCGGGTTCTATTCCCTACGTGTTTACAGTCAGTTAAGACATTTTCCGATGTCCCTGCTGTGATATTTCCTGGTCATTGATGAGTGAGGCGTTAGACCATACTCACTCACTCACTCATTGTTTAAACGCCTTTAGGTATTGTTTTTCAGTGAAAGGGAAATAAATACAACACACTACCACATTTCGTGATCAATATTAACCATCATTTATCTTTACTTTATTTCTTTGAGGAATATTGTGCTTGAAAAAGTATTTAGTTGTGAAAAGCTCATTTCGATAATCTGCCAATTGTATTGGTTGGAACATGTAAATCATATTCACACACTTTCTCTATCGGGTTTAACATCAACTGATACCAACATTAACATCGTTGTGACAAGGAAATCATAGTTAACACTGACGCTCCTTATATATATTTGCATTGACATTAATTCAATGATGTTTATGAATAACAATTACATTGATCACAAAGGTTTTCCTTAGAGATAGGGGATAATTTTGATAACACCTTTTATCTATATGTGCATGGAATGTTCCAGTAATTATTAATTAAATCAAAATAACATAAGTCCATGTAACAATATGGGAGGTACGATCGCCTTAGCACTACTTCGTTCTGTGGAACCGGGCCCTGGGTGCCGTAGTAAAATCGCCAGTAAATCGTGTAGTAAAACAGGCCATGGATATCTTCTTAGATATCCTAAACAGAAAGCGTTTCAGAAGCGAACGTGTTTTCAGAGACAGCAGTCGGGCACTAGATGTTTTAGATATGTTGATTTGATTTTTCGATATCGATTCCTGAAACATGACTTCTTAGGACTGGGTAATCGAGTTGATGATTACCGTCCGTCTTCCCATTCTACACAGGTCCAAGTGTTGTGTTCGTTGAGACAGTTGGCTAAAGGGGGTCCTTATAGCGAGATCGGGGACATTCACGGAGTTAGCAAGTCAAGCGTTTCCAGGGTACTTGTCGATACCATGCCCGGAATTCTGGTCACAGTCCGACTGATACATATTCCGACACTGGCCAAGCGCAGAGTGCATGAGAGAGTGCGTATGCTTTTACGCCGCTTTTAGCAATATTCCAACACTATCACGGCGGGGGACCCAAGAAATGAGCTGCACACATTATATCTATGTGGGGAATATAACCCGTGTCTTTGGCGTGACGAGCGAACGCTTCAACAACTAAGCTACTCCAACGTCCGCCAAGCACTGACAACGTATGGATGAATTCCACCAAATATGTGGTTTACAAAAGAGTTCTTCAGGGAATTGACTGTACCCTCATCAATATACAGACGCCTAAAGAAGACAAGGTCGCCTATGTATAACGAAAAGTATACCACGCTGTCAATAATCAGGGAGTGGGCGGCGCTAAACTTCAGAAATTATAAATACTGCATCCTTGACCCTTTACCGGGAATGCAGTGTATAGTCTTGCCTAGTCTTTATGAAATATAATTGACAACGTTCCATAATATAATTTAATTACACAGTAAAGTCCATAAGCTATGTATTTTTGTAATACATGTATAACTCTTTATCCTTTACCTTTTGATGATCATGTTAATTGTTTACAAAGACATAATTTAAAACAAAACTGCTAACAATGTATTAACATTCATAGTAAGTTTTTGTTTAATATAATACTGAAAAAAAGATATGTCTTGTCTCCATAAACCTTTTTATGAGCAAACAATATCTAGAGATAAGTGTTATATTAAAGTTCTCCAGTTTCAACTGTGAGCTGAAGTGAGCTTCTAAAGAACAAATATCCTGCAGGGTGGTCGGCGATTCAGGGTAAAGAAATGCCTTGATTATCTACAAAGTATAGTAGTAATCCTTTGGAGTATGTAAATTCCAACTTAGGTAAATATATACATAAAGGCTACAAAACCATTTAGATACTTATAAGAAATCTCTGCTGAAGGTAGAGTCGATTATACATGTGCAATTTGATGTCATTTGAACATAGTTGAACATGTCTCATGTCAGTTTTGATAGCTTCAATAAACGCATATATTGCCATGTGGCGTCATATTCTGAGACACTACTTATTTCTTCGCTGCTTGCACACCTCCTCTAGGTGTCTGTTATATGAGCCTGACAAGTGCATAGTTGTCATCACTACATGTATGCAGCAACACAACCTGGCAGTAAGCAGCTCCCGGTGATGATAGAAATCAAGTTAGGAGATTTCTCATCGGAGATCTGTCATGTCATTTCTGTACAGGGACATGTCTTCGTAGCTCACTGTTCCTTTTTAAAGAATGGAGAGTTTTTCGGACATTCACCTCTACAGAATTGACATGATAAATCCTCGGTCAGATTTATTATGTCCACGATTTGTGACCATACAGAATAACTATATCAAGTTAGTTTAAAGGGAAACAACGCTCCAAGTCTCAGTCTTCTGGACGGCGCCGTTGTAACTAGCCCGCATAATCACCTGATGCTAATTAGCGCCAGCGGCCCAACAAACTAGGGTTCGGACCACCTCGTTGACAGCGCGGGGGAATCCACTTGAATCCTCGCAATTGATTTGATGCTGCTGACTATAACTTTGCAAAATACGTCTACGGGTGTAAATGTGTATGCACAATTATGTAGATTAGTATACGGACAACATGTGTACGTATTATATTTAGTACACAGACAATCCGCGTACGTATTATATTTAGTCCACAGACAATCCGTGTACGTATTATATTTAGTATACAGACAAGACGTGTACGTATTATATTTAGTCCGAAGACAATCTGTGTACGTATTATATTTAGTATACAGACAAGACGTGTACGTATTATATTTAGTCCACAGACAATCCGTGTACGTATTATATTTAGTATACAGACAAGACGTGTACGTATTATATTTAGTCCACAGACAATCCG